CTCAATTGTAGTTACAGCCCCTTTTCTAATGATGGAGTCTTATCCTGGGCAATTGTCACTTTTAAGCACAAGAGGGCTATCCCGATAAATGCTGTTTTGAGAAATTTGAAGGTGAAGTTTTTGTATCCTTATTCAGTCTCTTTAAAAGACAAGGAGAGTTTTCTCTATAATAAAACAAATATACACACAAATGAAACCAAACTTCTCCTATAGGTAGGGCAATGCCCACTTTTACTTTGGTGTAGGTCAAAATTTCTGGAAACCCCCGAAATCTGGGTTAGCCCGCTTGTCCTTAGAAGCGACAAAATGATCTTTGGGTTCCATCTGAGTAAAGACGAAAACACCAACACAATATCTGACACATTGAGCGTGAGGAAAAACACAAGACAGGCAGAAACAATATGTGGATAGATAATTTTCGTTTTAGCAGAGGTTTTACGGCGCTCGCAACTGCATAAGGTCATACGGGGGATAGATAAGAAGCAGGATCAACTTATGGTGCGTGCCCTGTAACCCCTCACTCTATAGACAGATAGAATGGACAGTTTGTTCCACCAAAGAGGGGAGCGAGAGAAGGGCAGAGACCATCACGGGAGATATGGTGCAGCAGCGGATATGTCCAAAACCAGCAACAACAAAAAGCAACTGTCAGCCTGACCTGACCTGAGGGCGACGGCAAGCTCTGACTCTCTGACTGCTGGTGATATGTGCACAACGTACATCCTTGTTGTGTCCACGGGCAAGTACAGTTCACAACCGGGGGGGGGGGGGTGTGTGTGTGTGTGTGTGTGTGTGTTGGTGTGTGTGTTGGTGTGTGTGTGTGTGGGGGGGAGGGGATGATGGTGTGTGTGTGTGTGTCCCTGTGCACGTACCAGGGAGGGGTGGGGGGGGGGGGTGGTGGGTTGCATTGCGTGGTGTCATGCACTCACTCTCAGGACAAGCAAAACAAACCCTAGCCCTCCACACACAAGTTCAGAAGCAAAGACGTAAACAGTCATCAAATCACATCTGAAACAATTCCCTGTCGTTAAAAAAAAAAAAAAATTTCAATTTTCTTAATAACAAATGATTCAGAAGTCCATCATGAAAGAAGTTCTTGCAACAAACAGCCCCAGACGAACATGGCTCAGGACATGAAGTGATCAGTGGCGGTACAAAGACTTCTGCCATACACCAAAGTGAAGAGTGCTGACAAAATGAACAAATTTTTGGCCGTATGCAAATGAATACACCAACTTTATAGGTGGAGTTTCTAGAACAATTCTTAAAAATGGAATAATAAAAGACATGGTAGACATGAACAAAATGGCATCAATTAAAAATCTATAAATCTGACCTCGGAGTAGATTTTTGGCCGATATCTCCATTCTTGGATTGCGAGAACTCATTTTGTCAGCACGCCTCACAAACGTATCTGTAGACGTTTGACACACTCATTGACACACTCATGGAATTGACATACTCATGGAATTGACACACTCATTGACACAGATTAGATAGTTCCGGAGGCAGGCTGCCTCAACCCTGCCTGTCAGGGCCGGCCCCGCCTGTCAAGGACATACACATCCTAAAAAACATCTTGAGTAAAAAAAAGTACAATCCACTCAAATAGGGTCCACATGTTCATTAATAAAGACCCACTCATATTCCCAAAATGACTACTAGTTCATTTTAAAATTAGAAAAAAACCAAAGCCAGGCCAATGAATAACGCGAGACAAAGTGAAAAAGTCACATCTATGAGCAGGCCTACTTGCATAATACCCACAAGGGCCAGCCTAACCAACAGTTACACGTAACACATCTGCCAGCCGAGGCTTGCAAACAACACACGTAGACATACTGCCGTGGCAAAGCAGACAGATGTACTGGCAAAAATTAATAATTTTTGCATCTTTGTTTAAATGGACGCCTCTACCCATTCTGCATCTTGTGTCATAGGCAGGAAGACGTATCTGCGCTACATATAGGATATTTCACTATGGCAAACAGACGTAACTGAAGGGCCATGCCCATATTTCCAACGGCAGCGCGACGTAACTCAAAACCACAAAAAGTGCAGATACGTCGCTCTGCCTTGGCACGGCAGCATAACTCTCCCCACCACTGTTCACTGGCCGGGAACTATTTAAGCTATGACGGTGGGACACACACCTATGTGCATGTGACAGGAAAATCTGACACCAACAAACACGTGAAATACAAAAAGGAAAAAAGACAGGCCTTCGACTTGCCGTCCTGGCACACGCACCCCCCCCCTCCCCTCCCCTCCGCCATATACATCATGATGGCTGTTTCTGGCAGGCAAACACGGGCATCTGTCAAAGAAGGCCTCTGATTGGTCACACAAAATGAATGGGCGTGTCTAAAGAAAAGACCATTGCGATATAAACATGTGTAGAAGAGAGAGAAGGAGAAACGGAGAGATTGAACGAGAAAAAGACAGAGAGAGCGCAAGAAAGGGATGGGGGGGGGGAGAAGGAAAGACAGAGCGTGACACAGCCCCCTCCTTACGACCACCACAAACTTTGTGAGCTCCTTGATGGCATGTGTGTCACCACGACGCGGTGGAATCAGGCGCCTGTCAATTATCAGGAGTAAGGGGTTATTGATATATCATCTTACAGCTTATTAATTTGTCAGGTTTTAGATGAACCCCCCCACCATCTACCTTGAATAGAAGTATATCTAGATATACATTAGCAATTGAAGAAGATGATGAGGGTCGCCTGGTGTCAAGAGGAAAACCTATCAAGAAAGTGGCTGCCAAAGTCTGGTGATTTCCGAAACATTTACGTCCTTGAAAACTACAAATTAAAATTGTTGTGCCTTGATCCACGTTTTTCCGTGAAATCCATGTATGTCATTTTTAGACAGATATAAAAGGTGTTGTGCCCAAACAAAAATTCACTAATACTTGCCCAGCGGATGGGAAATATCTTTATCGTCTTTTTAAAAACGCTATTTCATTGTTTTGAGGAGCGCCTGATTTCACCACGAGGCCTCACAAATTTATCAGAGGTTACTTTTGGTCCACCTACCACAAAGAACAGCATATATACTCAAACTGAGAAATCAGAAGTTGTGCGGGAGTAAAAAACTGCCCAAAGAAATATCAGTCGGGGCTGGTTCATTCCTTGAGCCGGAGGTTTGTGTGTAAAAGCACTTGCTTCATTCAAGAATTGTTACTGATCAGGTGTAAATCGTGTACAAAAATAGGAAGAATTTTTTTTTCGTTCCGTACAGTCTGCACTTTTGATGGAGACTGCCGCGATGTCACTGGATGCAATTGACATTGTATTTCTTCACCTCCGAAGCACCCACATACAATCTGGTAATTTTTATAAAAGAATTAAAAATGTCACGGCCATTATTTATATCCACAGAGCTACTTTGCACTTTCAGGCTATTAAAATCAAGTTTTAAAAATTATAACGAGAACAATTCTATGATACAATATAAAAAGATTTGGCAATCTCATAGAGAAAAGGAAAAAAAAAAAAAAAGGAATACTGACTATAGGTGATAATAAAGCTAGCAAACTACATCAAACGTTAAATACATCACACACATGTGACTGGATGGAGATTGGTAGAAAAAAAAAGTAAAATCATCCTACAATTACGTGGAAAGCACTTGACGGCAATCGTGACAGTGACTGGTGATGAAAAAGCAACACTGGCCACCACGTGCTGTATCGTTATAATGTGTGTCACGACGAGGTGGAATCAGGCACTCGTCAAGTTTTAGGCATATGGGATTATTGGTATAATCTTAAAACCTGTTCATTTGCCTTTTTTTGATTAAAAAAAATATCAATCTATCTTGAACAGAAGTCGAAATATTTGCGATTGAAGGAGGTCAGGGTCGCTTGGTTTCAGAGGTAAAATTAGTGGGGAAATGGCGACCAAAGTTTTGTAACTTCCATAGCCTGAGAGTCCTTGGGAACTGAAAATAAAATTTATATTTTTTGAGACTTTAACCAGTGTTCCCCAGGGAAATCCACACATTACAAATGTGTTTTTAAATAGTTATAAAAGGTGTTGAGCCAAAAAAAGAAAGAAAATAAGAACAAAATTACCCATCAGCCAAAAGAATGCAAATTTCTTTGATTTCATCATTCTATTTGGACGAGCCCCTGATTTCACCACAATGCCTCACATATATATATATAACGGTGGGACGTCCAGTAGCCGGTCAGCTGGCCGTTAAATTAAAAGACGGTCCAGGAGCAGATATCCTGGAGCCAAGTCAGCACTCTCCCTTCGGTTATCTATTCTTAAATTACTAAGATGGATGTACACGCACACATACAGTATACACACAGGCATACACACACACACACACACACACAGTATACACGCAGGCAAACACACAGACACACATATACTACATACAAGTTTGTTTTATATTTGTTTCGGTTAAAAGTTAAAACAGAACTTGAACCTCAATTAGGTCACGATAAAAGTGCCGAAGATTTTCAAGGTGTCACAAGAGGGAAACAAACACACAAATAAAAGGAGGCGAGATAAGGACGATAGACGTTTGACAGAAGAAGTAAAAAAGGAGCAAACCACATAAGATCACCCGCCAAAACCCACTTTTATACAATTTGATGCGCACAAATGTACAATGTATGTACAAATACTACTTGCATGTTGGCGCATATATGTGCAGAAGTACACTCACACTACACATGACACACCCAGACGCACTCACATCAAAACCAAACATGCTAAAATGTACACACACTCACCCACACACACATTCACTACAAACATACACATACAAACTCAAACATATGTGTCACGACGTGGCGGAATCAGGCGCTCGTCAATTTTTGGGCATATGGGGTTATTGGTACCATTTTAAAGCCTGTTCATTTGTCTTCCTTTTGGTGAAAAAAATACCCATCAATTTTTGAATAGAAGTAGAAATAGTTGCGATCGAAGGAGCTGGGGGTCGCCTGGTTTCAGGGGTAAAATTAGCAAGAAAATGGCCGCCAAAATTTGGTACATTCCATAGCCTGAGAGTCCCTGGAATCTGAAAATTTACATTTTTTGTGCCTTTAGTCAGTGTTCTTCAGTCAAATAGACATGGAAAAATGTTTTCAAATGGAGATACAAGGCACAAGGAGTTGGATCAAAAAACAAAAAATTTGATAAAAATTGCCAAACGCAGAAAAATGTCTGTTTCTTCGATTTCCTTATTTTGACGAGCACCCGATTTCACCACGTTGTCTCACATTTTGTATGAAGCATAAGTTACGTCTCCAAGAACGAAGTTCCTTTTCACATCCCACGAGTGGTGAGCAAGTTCTTTCTCCCAGCAAACCAGGAAATTCTTAATTCTTCTTCCGTCTCCAAACGTGAACTTTCCCCCATCTCGAGAAACCACATGAAGATCCCATGATGACACCGAGGGTGGAAACCACACACGACTGAGTGACCACACACACACACACACACACACACAAGCACTTCCGCCTGCCCCTTCCCCTGTGAGTCAAGCGACCCCCCGAGTACGGGAGGTCAAGGTCAGTTATCCTGCGAGGACGGACACACGAAAGGCTTGACCAGGAACAGCTTCTCCGTGTCCTGCTTGAAGATCGGGTGTTTCTTGTAGTGCTCTATAAGGTCCTCAAGGTTGGTGAACTTCTGCTGGCCGATCTCTAACGTGCCTGAAGAGTTTTTCACGCGAAAGTGCTTGTTCCTCCCGGGAGCTTTGAGCGACACAGTGAAGTGACCTGCCTGAGAACATAGGAAAAAAAAACAAGAATAAGTTTGAGTATGTTTAGTTTTAGTACTAGAATTTTATGGCACTTGCATCAAAATAAGTATAATATAATAAGTGCAGAAGATTAGAGGTGTCACCTAGAGAGTAACAAACACAAAAAAATATGGAAGAGCGATAAGGACGATAGATGTCTGACAGATAAGAAGGAGCAAACCACACCAGAGCACCCGCCAACCACCCACTGAGTTTGAGTAGTAAAGAGAGCCACATTAACACAATATCAGTCAGTTTAGTTAGAGGTGTTACGGCGCTCGCAACTGCATAAGGTCATTAGAGTGCCAGAAGATTAGAGGTGTTACAAGAGAGTAACAAACATAAAAAAGAAGAAGGGGCGATAAGGACAATAGATGTTTGATAGGAAAGAAGGAGCAAACCCCACTAGAGCACCTGCCAACCATCCACAATATCAGTCATTTAGTGCAGAGAAAAAGTACATCACATAGAAAGAATACAGGGATAGAAATTATTTTTTTTTACATGTACGACGACTACGACATACAAACCGCACCTTTCAACTACCCAAATAAGAACAAAGACAAACAAATAATTTTTAAAAAATAAATTTGTAGCCTTCTACCAGACCAACAACACATGATACTCACACACATGGAATGTTCTGGAGACTCCTCACTCACAAAACGACCCACACACTTCCATTACGTTGCTACATGTCCCCAAAAAGTGATTGTGAAAGAAGGGGGAAAAAAACCCAAACAGTTCCCTCACTTGGTCGCTTGTAAGGACAAGCAGGCTAACCCAGATTTCGGGGGTTTCCAGAAATCTTGACCTACACCAAAAGTGGGCATTACCCTACCTATAGGAGAAGTCTGGTTTAATTGGTGTGTATATTTGATTAGATGTATACAGAAAACTCTCCTTGTCTTAAAAAGAAATTGAACAAGGGGCAAAAATTTTACATTCGTTTTTCTCAAAACAGCATTTTTCGGGATAGCCCCCTTGTGCTTAAAAGCGACCAATTACAGTAGCTATCCTATCAGTCAAGCCCAATCCCAAAGCACCAAATTGGTCACACTAACATGTGCAGTTGTTTTTGACAATTCAGCATTATCATCTTTTCATGTCCCAAAGACAAGAAAAGGAATACTTGTTTAACACTTTGCAGTCACACAGCCAGCAGTACAAATTACCCCCATCTGGTCACCCAGCCAGGAGAGTGACTGTCAACAGACTTCTCAGGCCTGTCGCAGAACTGCGCCGAGTGACCAAAACACATAATTTTCACTGTCACATTATCACGCCAAGTGACCAAAACACATCATTTTCACGGTCACATTATTGTGGCAAGTGACCGCAAAGTGTCAAACACCCACCAGCCACCCTCAGAAACTAGGACAAAATATAAAAGAAAGGAACAAACACCAAACAGCACAATTCCAACACGACAACAACTTTCTACTCACTGTCGATTCACTGTCCCGAATCAAGAAATCTCCGTCCACGGCAAATTTGGTAAGAATGTCCTCGCACTGGTTCCGAGAAATTTTCCCATAATACCACTCTTTGTCCGCCAGGGGTCCGGCCACCTGGAACTGTTTGCGGCCGGCGAGCGCCAGCGCGGCGATGGATGTGTTGGAGATAGAGGAGATGGACTGCGACTGAGACTGGGGGTTGGAGGAGGAGGTGGAGGTGCCCCGCTCGCTGCCCTCCTCCCCGGACGAGGACACGGGGGTCACGTAGGTCGCTGGGACCACGCCCGTCTCGCCGCGGGAGTTGCGCACCGAGAGCCAGTCCGAGTCCGACTCGGAGACCACCACCTCCAGCCGCTCGCCCTTCTCGCAGGTGAGCTCGCCAGAGTTTTTGCCCTCGAAGGAATAGAGCGCCAGAACAATGTCCGCTGAACTGTGCGAGGGCGAGGATTGCGATTTGGCTTCGGCCGCCGTGAAGTAGAGGAGGTTACCGGCGTCCTGTTGGTTGTGGGCACCCGCCGAGGAATTCACTTCTTCCACGTAATTCGACGGGAACCACCCCACGCTACCGTCATCCTTCCGACCCCGCCACCAGCCGTCCGTCGACTTCTCTATCACCATGATCCGCTCGCCTTTCGAGAGGGAAATCTCATCGGGTCTCTGAGCGGTGTAGAGGAACTTTGCACAAGCAGGCATGCACTGGCCCAGCTGAAACGTCTCGTACGTGTTGGCGGCGTTGTTTCCGTTAGTCCGGGCGCGGTAGGAGGCGTCGCCGTTGTTCAGGGAGGGGCTGGGACACGAGGAGGAGGACAACTGCTTGCTACCCTCCGACTTCTTCTTACCTCCCTTCTTGAGGATGGTGGAGAAGAGCGAGGCCTTGGGTTTGGAGACCTTGACAAAGTTGGAGGGCACGAAGCCCTCGCGGCCCGAGTCGGGCGAGCGCACCTTCCACCAGTCCTTGGTGTCGTCCACCAGAACGAGGCGGTCGCCCTTGCGCATGGAGAGCTCCTGGGAGTTCTCAGCTTTGTAGTCGTACTTGGCCACCAGCTGGGTCTCCTGTGGGCCCTCCGCCATACTGGACACACCACTGAAACAACACACAGAGAGAAGGTTCATATATTATAGCAGTACACACAGAGAGAAGGTGAAAACATGTCATATATTATGTAGGATAACACACACCACTGAAACAACACACAGAGAGACAAGGTCAGTACACACCACTGAAACAACACACAGAGAGAAGGTTCATATATTATAGCCGTACACACATGGAGAAGGTGAAAATATGTCATATATTATAAAAGATGACACACACAGACAGCAACAACAAGGCTAAAGGGTCCTCCGCCATGCTAGACACACCACTGAAACAACACACACAGACAAGGTCAGAACACACCACTGAAACAACACACACAGAATGTTACTATACTATATTATAGCAGGACACACCGATTTAATTTTAGTAAAAGTTTTACGGCACTTGCAACACAATAAGGCCATATAAGTGCTGCAATACAGCCATTCCACATCAGGAAACTCAGCAGTTTTACCTCACATCAATACAGTCTTCCATACTGGAGAAATACTGAATCCTTACTCCACAAACACACCCCCAGGAAAAAACCACACACTAGCAGTCAGCAACTATAACAGGCACAAAATAACGACACACAGGGGGGAGAAGAAAAAACGCTAGGTTGGCAGGCCCTCTCTTGTACTCTGGGAACCCCCAAGGGGGGGGGG